AGCTCCACAGAGCGTTCCACTGGAGCTCCGTATAGCGGTTCCAATGGAGCCAGGCGTTCGGCTCCAGGCGCAACACTCTCGTGTAATTAACAGCAGAGCGCGAGAAACAACGTTTAATTAACGCTACGCTAATTACGCTAAATAGTGCCATTAACATGTTTATAAACAGGTGACAGCCCACGGAGATGTTAAACATACTTTGTTCCTAAGAAGGGGGGGATTTGTACAACATTTGCAACGGAAGTGTTTCGGCAAATGATTTCCACGCATTTCTGATTTTTATTTGTGTAAGAAGCTGCAGGTTACATTTAATATTGGCCAAATGTGTTATTCTATTTGATGTCAATATATTTGTCCCCTCCAGAGTAAATAAGACAAAGTACTGCCTTTAAAGACTCCGACAGCTGGTGTCCCTGTGGAGAGACTGGCAAATGCCAGGGTAAGGTGGAATTTCCATCGCTGACTGGGGCCACCAATTGGATGTGCGCACCAATCAACACTCATTTTGCACTGGGATATTGTGACCTTCGGTTGCAAGTAACTTACAATAATGCTGCTCTCTTTGTGTCACACCCGAGTTCAATTCCCACTCACGGCCAACAACAGCGACAATCGTCTGAACCGGTCTTGGGCCTCCCCTAGGTCGACCCAGCATCCAATAAGCACATGGTGCGATGTGTAAGCATAGCCACTAGGGATACAAAGGTGGCGTGGTTCTGGCCGCCTGGCCCCTCATGTGCCCCAACGGTCTGCTAAGCCTCTGCAAAAGTGATTCATGTTCTTTGGTTCGTTCGGTAAAGTCGCATAGATAGAACAATAATAATGTGAATAAAAATAATTTAAAAAATTAAATACAAATATTCATATTTATAAACTATACATTTTTTAAAAAATTGGTATTATTTTAATTCACTTTATTAAAAGAATATGAATTCCTGCAGTCACGAAAGTTTTCATTCAAAATTCAAAAGAAATTTGTCGTTGCAAGTATTTGTGTGCTCGTGTACACGTGCGCTGGTCCTGGGCATCTCCTAGGTCAACTCAGCCTCAAATGTGTATCTGGTGCACTTTGCATACATCAACACAGGAGCCAATAAGGTGGATGTGTGTGATGCAAGCCACAACAAACCATCGTGGGTCGTGCTGGCATTTAGAGGTGCTCTCTAATCGGCCTTGCCCCAACAGTCTATCAAGTCTACATAGAAGGTCTTTTCCTTTCTCTGAGCCTGCCCGTATGTGTGCACATGGTATCCATATACATCAACCTTCATTAGCTTGATGTATATGGAAAGCATCGTGGCAATAAAATCAAGTGAAAGCGCTGTACAGACAAAAGATAATAAACAAAAATATATCGCAATGCTCATTTACAAAACTACTTTAAAATAAATCCAAGTAATTTTCTGCTTGTACGAGCATTGCGGCGGTGCTCATCTCTTGTTGACAGCCCCGAGCGAGTGGTGGAAATTCCTCATTCCTATGGCAGGGTCGAGTAACTCCACAAAGTGGTGCTAATGAGCGAGCACCACTTTGTGGGATGACGCTCACACTGTCACTTTAGGTGAATAATCATCCTTTCAACAAAATGCAAATTAAACGTCTTACAAAGTGTATAATCCTTCTCTAAGTACGGCAACTTAAAACATCAGAAAGGGCAACACGTGACTGTGTGGACACTCATGCAGCCGAGCGTGGGGGCGCTGCAGCTGCACCGACAGCGGCGGATGTCACACAGAGTCCTCCTGCTCCTCCACGCAGGTGAACTGAGGCACGACGCACGGCGCCACTCGCCGCACCGCACGCACACTCATGCACACGCACACACACACACACGCATGCACGCATGTACACACACACGCACACACGCAACGCATGTACACACATGCACACACACACACGCACACACACACGCATGCACGCATGTACACACACGCACGCATGTACACACACGCATACACGTACACACACGCACACACACACGCACGCACACACACACACGCACGCACACACACACGCACGCACACACACACACACACACACACACACACGCGCAAGCACACGCACGCACACGCACACACGTACACGCGCGCACGTGAGTCGCCGCAAAGTGACGTGCGTGCTCGTCAGCGTGGGCGTCCCGCGTGGCCGGGCCCCAGATGTGTTTCCTGTCGGCGCTGCGGCCCTACAAGTGTGACGGTGGCGGTCGCTGACCACCACTCACAGCTCACCGGCGCGGTTCATGTGGACGCCGTCACGGCACCATCGGGGGACTCCGACGTCAATTACATCTGCGCACCGTTCTCAGTTTCTTCGGTAACCTGGTTGTTTTTGCCCCGATTTCTATTCGCTTCATTGTTGTACTTGGTTTTGACGCGATTGCTATTGTTGTTTTAGTCACCCAGGTCACTCTTAGCAAATGAGACTCATCCTGGTTTCTTGAGTTACCACCACCTGGCTCAACTTGAACTTGATTTTGAAACGCTTCTGATGGTCCCACACGCTTCCCTTGATGCGCAATGCACTGGTTGTATCACCACGACAGTTTTTAATCACCGCACGGAAGAACTCTGTCTCTATCAAGCCACCCACCATCCACAACTCGCTTCATTGCCACTTAAAGAACAACTATTTTAGATGCACATTACTATTTCGCTGTGCCGCCACGTGGCAGGCACTGGGAGCCATGTCAAGGGAGCAATGATCCCCTGACTTTCTTCCTATTTTGCCGGATTTTTCAGAATTCACAATTTTTCAGTTAGCACGCGAACAAACTGCTTGCAAACAGCTGCAACAAAAAAGAAGAAGACGTCACCGACTGACGTGACATCCGCTACCACCTTCCGACTGAACACTTTCCACTTGCTGGAACACCAATTCTTTGTATGCGTCCACAAAGATAAGGGCCGGTGGGTTTTTTTGGACTGCGTTATGCGCTTCTAGCGGACGGGAAGGATGTGCGGGCTCTGGTTTCCCAGTCGCTGGTTTCGCCACATCCGAGCTCCGTCAACCTCGCCCACTCGCCCACTCGCCCGCTCCACCGTGTCCGAGCACAACGTGGGACTGCGGTTGAGCACTTCCAGAAGTCCTGGAATGCCGACGGCATCTCTCTCTCTCTTGTCGTAGCAATAACTGAGAAGGCCACATCAAGGAAGACTGCCCTTGCACGTGGAACAGTGCAAGGGCAGTCTTAACAGGCTGAGTACTACTGACTCTGCAAGTTGTGGGATCTGCCAGGGAGAAGGCAATAATGGCAAGTTGTGGCGGACTAACGGCACTTGCCGTGATGCCTCATTATACTTCGTGACCCGCTCGCCTTCTCTCTATTTTTTTTTACTGTAAGAGCCAACCATGTCCATCCGGTGCTCTCCGAGCTGCATTGGCTTCCGATTGCAGGGCGAATCTATTACAAGGTTGCACTCCTTACACACAAGGTGCTTGCCGCAAATGAACCACACCTTGCTGATCTAGTCAAGGAGAATAAGCCGCCATGAGAACTCGGGAAATCCTAGCAGCTGCTTTTGGATAACCATCGAACAAAGACGGTCCCCTGCATCGAGCACTTTCAGACGCGCTTCTGCGGCGGTCTGGAGCGCTCTTCCTTCCGATATTAGGAAGCCACTGGAGCTGTGCACTTTTAAATTAAGATTCAAAATAATTTATTTACAACTGACTTTTTGTGTTTAGTTTGTTGTCTCTCCCCTGCACCTCCGATTAGCACGTTTGGCTACGTAGAGTGCATAAGAAATTCAACACATACATATTTACATTCCCATAATTTTTATTTTCGTACTGTCTGTCGTTATGACGCGCTGACCCACCGCTACCGGACACCTGTGAAAAAGAGCTTCATAGCTCATCGGATTCCCCCAGCTTAACATAAAGATGCCGATAAAAACTTGAATGTTGCTTCCGCAACGTAGAACGCGTATGGGGCGATGAAGGAGGACGGTTCACCTGCTCAGAAACACTGGCTCCATCGGTTGGCCAAACAAAAGCCAACCAAGGAAGGCACCGGGAGACTCTGCCGAGACACGGCCGTGTTTTGCATCGATTACACTGGTCAACAAAAAAAAGCATTTTTTTCTGGCCTGGACTTTTGCAGCTGTTTAAGACTAATTTCAGGGTGCTGATTCCAAATCTGACCTCAGATTTGCTCTACCACATCTCATTCTTATGCTATCGGCATACCCCATTTTCATTGATTTTACCCGAAATTAACTCTGTCACTTATGATTGCAAGTTGTTGCGAGTCAGTGACTGCTTTAGTGTTAAAATACGGTGCTGTATTTTTAGGATAGTGTGTTTATAATATAATTTTATGTAGATATCCACTTTATTTAACATCTTTCTTCCGCAGTTTTTATTGAAAATGCAATATTTGATATCTCAAAAACCTGATGTGATAGACAAAAACTGATGCCAGATTTGGAATCAGCACCCCAAAATTACCTTAAAACCGTTGGACCTTATGCCAGAAAAAGTGTGTTGACCAGTGTCATCAGTCGCCGGCCAGCCATGCCCAGCCCAGCTGCATCTTGCCAAGCGGCAGGCACAGCGGGGGGTGGCCTCGTCGCGATCGGTCGACCGTGACGCCGACGGATACGCGCGACGACAAATCGTGCGCGCGGCACCCAACTTCCCCGCGCTCACGAAACTCACGCGGACGATGTTACATTCATGCCACCGAGTCAAAAACTAAATACGAACAACCAGATGGGGAAACCAATACAAAGCAGTAAAAATCACGGCAAAAATAATAATAACAGAATTCTTGAACTGAATCGCGACCCAAGATCGTCGCAACGATTCTGTGGGGAGGAGGAGAGGTCGCATGGCACGACCGCCCGGTGGGGGAGGGGGGGGGGGTCTGCAAGGCACCGCGGTACACACTGCCGATCGGTGGCGGGCGGGGGGGTCTGCAAGGCACCGCCACTACGTTGGCGGGCGGGGTCCGGTTTGGGTGACGAGGTGCACACGGCAGTGAAAATGCGTCCAATTACCTCCATGTCCTTCTCATTCACCGTCCACTCCCCCTCCGAGTCACCTGCAGCAACGGCAACGACAACAAGAAACACAGCACACGTGTAAATCACCGCTCGGCCATCAGCTGCAACCTCGCACAGTTTATCCCGGTGATTAATTGGCATCCCGGCGAAACCACGCACGCACACACGCACGGCCAAAGTTGGTACATCAAGCAGCTGGCTAATCCCCAAACCAGAAGCCACCACCCGCCCCGCGCCACCTCCATTAACTATAACTGCCTTTACATCCAGTGCTGGAGGTGTAAATCATGTGGAGACAACTTAATGGCTTGATTTGTTTGCATCCAAATAATTTGGTCGATAGCTATTGACTGGCGCGTGGATGTGGACAAACAATGGGGAGCCAGGCATGCTAAGCGGTGGTGGCATAAATTCTGGAATGGAGGTCCCCTTGTTGAGGTTTCTTTATTTAAAAATTGCTCGGACCGGCGGTAGCACATTCGCCGCTCGTTGCAGAGTCCGCGGTTCGAATCCAGCAAGCCTCCCTGGTTAATACTGCAGGTGTATTCACCATAAATACGAGCCATCTGCATCACAGCACACATTAAAGATCTCCCGGTGCCATTCGAATCGAGCAGGCCATTGCGTGCTAGCGCCACGGTACAAATGGGACAATTTAGAAAAATGACCCACATACGACTCATTTTGTACTCCACACAGCAGCAATCATCGCCCCCTACTGGCAGACTAACGTCCGCTTGCAGGCCGTTGCCCGGTCACCGTGTGCCGCAGACGGGTAGCTGCGACTGGGGAGTGCTATTTGAATGTTTGAGATGAGATGTGATTTAAGGCACTTTGAGTTGTCGAAGCACTTAAGCAAGCGCCGTTAAAATGCGAAGGATTATTTTACATACAACTGGGAATGGCGAAAACATAAGATGGCCTCGTGGTCATCCCGGTGTGTGTCAGAGGATTGGAGTCTCTCTCTCTCTCTTCCTTTTCGTATGGTACTTGAAGAAAAACTGACAAAACATTACAAGTAGGATGCTCAGCTTGGCAAATCCACTGATGACTTTGGGAGTTGCTTGAAGAAGATGACAACCTTTGCGTGGTTGTCCCTTGTTACGAGCGAAAACACGAGTGTCAGTCAAATTGGTTGACCGGCCGAAGCAGAGATGCTACTCGTCCCTCCAGCCAGAAAAGCGATGGCAAAAAGTGTCGCGGAGTGCCGAGTCAGCACCGATGAGATCCTGGCTACCAATGTGGAATTCAGGTACTCGCCATTAAAGTAGGTTCTGAAGTGGAGCGAATTAAATGGTCTCAGCCTGGCCACAGCGACTACACCACCCAACACACCACACAGAAAAACGCTACGTATTTGCCTCGGTCAACCTTGCCTCCAAGGGATTATGTTAAAACCACAAACCACCCACTCGTATGCACAAGCAAGAGGCAGTGCAGTCAATATATTGCGTTAGAAAATATGTGAACGCTGACCGTGACAGAGTCTGACCAGACAAAGGCTGATTCTGATAAGAGGCTGCACTGCCAGGCTTCTTGAATGACAGAAGCAATGTTGTCAGAGGCTGCAGCAACAGCGGCTGCCATGACAGACAGACGCTAGCCTAACAGCGGATGGCCCCGACAGCAGCTGGCCTGAACCAGCCCGGTCATACAAGAGGCCGTCTCAACAGAGAAAGGCCCAATAGCAACTGGCCTGACGGAGGCCACCCTGATACCAGCTGGCCACAAAGATGTTAGCCTGACGGAAATTGACTGGACACAGGCAAGCCCAAGAGAGAAGGGCCCGACAGAGAAGGGCTGGCGCCTCCAGGAAGCCGCCTGTTGTCTGTCGAGAGGCCGGCCTCAATGCGCTGCCCTTGGGCGGCGCAGGCCGAAAAGTGGGGGTGGGGGGGGTGAGTGGCCCGGCGGGGGTGCAGCCGCGCTCCGCTCCCCGTCCCTCACAAAGCACCCGGCAGCGTCACACCTGAGCAGGAAATAAATGGTGGCCTATTCATGTCAATTGGCGGGCGTTAGGGTTTAAACGAGAATAAATGTAAACTTCAGCCACAAATTCCCTCCAAATTTGTAAGCCTCCGCTCCAGCTTATTGCCTCCCTACCTCCCATAAATTCTGATTTGACAGAAAGCAATATTCGCCGTGTTTCACGCACGTAGCCACTTTGCTGCAAAGCCACAAAAAATGACGGCTGCGCCCGGTTTAACGTACAGAACAAACAGGCGGCGGCGGCGTGTCGGCCGGCCGGCCCCGCGCAGCGCCACTCGCACACGAATCGCACGGCCACGGCGCCCAAGCCAGAGAAGCCGCGAGCGCTCGTCATTATCATTCGAGGCTTCGCGCACGAGGCCGAATGGCGCACCCACGGTCGGGGGGCAGTCAGAGAGTCTCCTCCAGCTCGAGCCCGCGCTGGAAACTCCACGTTTCTACGACAAGGGCAATCGTTCCTTGCGGTTTGCTCGCTGTCCACTCTTCACAAAGCGGTGTTTATTTTATAGACCTCCCCCACGGAGGTATGATTCATTTGACTCCCCGACTGGGAGTTGAACTCACGCCCCTTCTGATTGTGAGTCCAGTGCTCGAACCGTAGCACCAGCTGGCTGGATTTTCATTTGTACATCATTATTTAAAGGCAATATGTAATAATGTATACACTTTGTTACATGTGTATACACTAAATACACGTAATAAGCCACTTGAATATGATGTATCATTATGATCCAACCTACTGACACTGGTTAGAGAACTTGGCTCACACGTGGAAGGTTGCGAGTTCGAATCCCATTCAGGGGCAACTCAGCAAATCATTCCCTCTGGAGGCACTAAATCGAGTACCACTTTGTGAAACGTTAACCTTGAGAGTCTGACAATAGAAACGTAACAGAAAACATGAAATTCCCTCCAATGGCTGGGAATTACCAATGGAGAAGATCTTAGATTGATCAGGGAGGCTCTCAACAATATCCCACAAGTCTCTGAACAAACACCGGCGGACAACGGCACCAGACCTTAAATGTCAAAATTTGCTTTATTTATATATATGTGTAAAGCATATACTTGTGCATTTATTCTTTGACACAAGTCCCGATGTAAACAGCCGTACCCAGAACAATACACGGGCGGGCTAATGTGCGAGCTTCGCAATGACGGAGAGCCACTGTCAGAAGCATTAGCCCAACACCACACATCCTTCATTGGGATTGACAGCGGGTGTGAAGGTGTTTTCCAGTTCATGAAGTGCGTGCAGACTATGACCGAATCACTCGGAAGGCCCCTAATCTCGTCAAGCCAAGCAGGGTTTCGAGCCTGGACCATGCATGTATGGAGATTAAAACCTCGCGTAACAGTCGCTACAGGCTCGCCGCTGCGGGGCCACATTACCAACGGAGGGTATTGCGGCAATATCCATAGTTGTACTGTGCCATGCTGCAACGTCTACGCTCCCCGCCTTCACCAACCCGCCCTGGCCAGCACGGTTAAAGTATGCTCAATTAACTCCTCACTGACGACCTGCAAACAAATAAAGTGTGTAGGCCCTCATCCAGCAGCGGATTTACCGCGGCGCAAGCAAGGAGCACACGAGGCGCCACCGCGCGTGCGTAAGCGGCCGGACGTACCCAAAAAATAATCCAAATTCACCGCCCAACCCAAACGGAATAAGAGAACGCCCTTTTGCCAATAGGCACCGTCCGTTCCATTACTCATCGGGGGAAGGGGACGGGGCGGCTGGGAGCGCAGAGCCAGGGCTCGGCAGCCCCAGCTGTTCGCGGGGGCAAGCGGGAGGACTTGGAGAGAGGGGGGGGGGGTGAGGTGGGGTGGGGGTTGGGGGGGCGGGTTGGAAAGGGCAGGGGGGCGAGGGGGGGGCAGGTCGAGGCGGGGCAGCCGAGCATCGCGAACCGTTACGTGAGACCACGGGAAAACTTTATCCGGGAGACGACGTGCGGATGGAAGAGGTGATCTTCGGTGAAATGACCCGGGCTCTGCAGAGGGGTTTGGGTGGCTGCCAAGCCAAGCGCAGTGCCTGCCCCTTACCTCTTGGTTCCCCTACAGGGAGATGAGCTTTATATTTGGTCGCAGGTGTGTGTATATATATGTGTGTGTGCATAGCTGTATCTCCACAATCAAACGGCCTACAGAGGTTACTTTGGTCTCGAATGAAAGCTACGTGTGTGTGTCTTCTCGGAACGACCAACATTTCAAACGTACAACTTTGGCATTTTGCTGTAAGGATACATATTTTTTTTAAATCTCATCGTGTCGCGGGAGCTGGAAGAGGACGATTCCAAGCCGGACAGATAAAACCGAATCGAGCTGCACCATTCACGTCCCGTACGAGCCACGAGTCGGCGGCGGGGGTTGGGGCATTAAAGGCAACGGTTAACAACTTATTAGTAGCAAGCGATCCATACCATCAGCATTATCATTATTAGCGAGATGGGCATATTCTGCGGGTTTCATGCATCTACTCGGGGTCCGTAGGTTTCGGTGACAATGTGCAAGACGCTACGGGGCCAAAATAAGGAACAAAAATTAAACGGGCAGTCAGCTGCCCTAAGGGCTTGCCGCCCAGCCAGATTTGAGGTTGCGATGATCGTGCTCACGTCGTTAAGGGCATCTGCACCCCCCCCCCCCAACGAGGGCAGCCCGGGAATCCCAAACCAACACTTGGTAGGACGGGCGGATCGACAGCAGCGTTCGCTCCGCAAACGTAACGCTAAAACGTATAATATAATATATATATAATATATAAAAAATGTCCCAGACGTTTGTGGACAACCTTACCAGACTTACATGGAACTCAGCTGTCAGTGACACCGAAATGAGATCTATATATGTGTATATATAATTCAGATGCTGCATATTATAAATGCAAGTGTAGTATTTCAAACCATACACGCATGGCTTAAATTCCCACCGGCGATGACAAAACGGGGAAGACTTTTGTCGCAAGTCCACAGTGGCTGTCTCGCAGGATTCCTGGCTCCCACCACAGGAATGTGGAATGCCCCCACCGGTTCAGAACTGAAAATGTTGATTTCCA